CCACCAATTGCAGATCAACCCCACACACTTTGATCCAAATTGCAATTTTGCTTATCAAATAAGCTTTTATTAACTGGTGAGGAGGCAAATAATTTCTTAAGTTTTAATTATTACAGTATAATTTTTATTTAGGCTCTTTAAAGATATTTTCAAAATTCAGAAACACTTTTCTCATCAGCTTTTCAAACTTGCAGTGATTTCCTCCCCCCCATCCCCCCCCCCCAAATAGCACATAGGGCTATTATTAATTGTGCAGAAGGGGAATCTTGCTGCTTTTTTAAAATTTCTCTAATTCCTGGCCATGTTTCATTACTAATTCTGCACTTTTATTAAGCACTAAATAATTTCATGTTTTGCAAAGCACTGAGTTTAAATTTCAGAATGAGTAATAGTAATGATATGGCAAGTTTTAAACAGCAGCTTCTAATTTTCAATCAGTATGACATTCATTATGATATTCCAGCTTCAATATTTTGAAAATTGCAGTGCAGAATGAGAGTTAAGTACTCAGGCAGATCAGCCACAATGTTGGGGAAGCTGCTGTCTGGAAAACCAGAATATCTATATTACTGGTACAGATAGCTTGATCTGTAAAACAAATCTGTTTCAAGATATTCAGTGCTATGAGAAGAGAATAGTAGTTGTAATCTACTATTACAGTAGTCTGTAATCCAGACTAACCCTTTTCTAAGACTAGGAGCTGTCAAATTCCTGAAATATCTAACCTTCCCCACATGTATAATTCACAATTTGTATCCATTTAAAAAAACTATAAATTCATCCATTGGCCACCAAATATTTCCTACCCCTGTGTAACAAATATGAGATTTGGTCCTCCAAAAATAATTTAATACAGTATGAGCTTGAGCATTCTCTGATAGTCACTTTTTTACTTTTCTGATTTGTAACCATTATTTAAAATCATGTTTGTTTGCAGAAGAAAATATTAAGCACTAATACCAAATACTAAAAAATAATTACAATACAATATTTGCTAGGGGAAAAATAATCCTAACTCAATGACAAAGCACATACCATTTATTTGCTATCAGTTTATGCTGTCTTGATTTCAACAGAATATAATCTCTGGAATGATATTTTTTCATTAAATATTCAGTTCCACTTTAGTACTTTTTACTTTTCCATATAGGACCTAATTCTCAGAACAAAGGCAAAGATGGTGTGTCTTTTGTTATAGAACTGCCAGTCTGTTTCTTAGAATCTCTAGGGTTTTGCACACTTTTCAAGTGATTCAGAAGAAGTAATACAGCATCTCTGATGTTTATATTTTTAAAAAACCTTGACTTCTTTCAGCTTTCTGAACAAGCCTAAAAAAAAGAATGCCACTAGTTTAAGGGATCTATTGAGTAGAATTAATATGATATTTAAAGCAGAATGCTTGCACAGGAACCTGGAACGAGGCTGGGCAACTTTACTGAAGAGAGTTGCTGCTTTTGTGTGAGGTCCAAACATTTTTCCCCTCCCAAATCATTATCAAACTATGCACAAGCCTATCATTCTTCAGAATTGTCTGAAGGTGCAATTTATAACCCATAGGAATTGAGCATAATGGCCTCTACTCTTTCTGAATTGGCAGCATCATTCTAATGAGCAGAAGCCAATTATGTGTTTTGTTAAATAGAAACAGTGCCCCAAACCTTTGGAACAGATTTTGAGGATATATATCAAGTCTCAAGAGAAAGAAAAACAATGCCTGTTGAGCAGATGGATGTCTACCTATTGAATTAAAATATGTCACACAACTTACTATCTAAAAAGACTTTACATGGGAAGGGGATTTAAGTGTTCAGTCTTTCCGGGAATCTGTTCCTAGATGGTATTTGTCTACTATTTCCCTTTTTTTCTATCTTGATTCAGTCTTTCCAAAGATATGTTCCATCCTCTTATCCGTTTAATATAGTATTTTGCAGTCTGAATCTCCTCCAGCTGGGTGGGCTTCAGCTCCCTGAATTCCTCACCTAGTGTGGCCATTAAGTAGTAAAGATTTGTGTCCGTATGTGTTTGTGTGCATGTGCACACATGCATATTTACATGCACTCTCATATACATATACACTACATACATACTGGTCTGCTTATGTTGCACATGCTTCTCTGTTTTTTTCAAAATAGATTTTGCTTAATTAATAGAATTGCTTGCTTCAATAGAAAGCCTTCCCAATTATAATTAGCATTGTACAGGACCCAAAATATAAGGTCTAGATATGAATCTTTCTTAGCAGTTCCACAGAGCCCATCACTGCTGTAAGATATATATATATATATATATATATATATATANGATTTGACTATTATCTTGATAGTGGCTCTTCCTCTTGTTCATCAAGGTTATTCCTTCTGACCATACAGATGGGAGTAAGCAGTGAAGAAGAGAAGGAGTACTGGTAAGGAAAGAGAAATGTGGAGAGATGAGGTTACAGTGAAAGAGAATTAAAGGAAAGAAAAGAGAGAGAAAAACTCTTTCTAGGCATTATCCAAAGTATTACATTTACAACATAAGCAGCCCTTCCCAAGCGATGGCTAATCTGCAAGAGTATCTCAGGTTTGGAGATTTGGGGAACTTGCCCTTTTTTCACTTTTAAATCAGTATTGACTCCTGGCAACTTCCTAGACAATCCCCTACAGTGTTCTTAGCAAGATTTAGGAAGTGTTTTGCCATTGCCTGCTTCCTAAGATTGAATGTCCCAAGGTTACTCAGCTGTCTTTGTGCCTAAGGCAGGACTAGAATTCACAGTGTCCCAGTTTTTTATTTGATGCCTTAACCACACCACCAAACTGGCTTTCAAGAATGAATTAAGCTAGACAATTATATCTTCACGTCCATCTATATGAATCCTTATATGGTGTTTATTGGGATTTTCATAAATGTTTTGTATTAATTAATATTTATTATTCATTTTTTAGAGTTACTGGACCTCCAGCCTTTACCCATTACAGCTTTAGGACATCCCAAATATGAAACTCTCTACAAATTTACTCATTTCAACCCAATTCAGACTCAGATATTCTATACATTATATCACACTGATAGTAATGTACTACTTGGAGCCCCCACTGGTTCTGGAAAGACAGTTGCAGCAGAATTAGCCATCTTCAGAATTTTCAATAACTATCCCACTACAAAGGTTTGCAATACCTTTTTTTTCTCTAAGAAATGTTTGTTTTCTGTAGTCTGGTTTTCATACGGACTAAATGTAACTGACAAATGGTCTCTACTATTACTTTTTATCTGAGGTGGTGGGCTTAATGAAAAATTCCAAAGTGAAAAAACCCTACTTAAAATGAAGAATGGGGTAATGCTTTCTATTAAAAAATTATATGACTGGTGTAATTTGTCGCTGTTTTACAATGTTTCTATATTCCATAACATCAAACTGTTCCCTGGGTAGTTCACAGATAGTATAAATATGAAATAGAAAGACAGGCATAAAAACCAAATAGCTAAAATGTGTTAAGGGACCAAAGTACTGCAAAAAAAATACATATGTATTAAAACTAGTCATTCTAGAGAATAGAACGTTTACCTGGTATCAGAAAGCAGTTTTTATACTTTGATTTCACTTGGATTTTAATTGCTTTGAAGAATGAAATAAAATTTTCAACATTATCTGTGGTAGTTTAATATCAACTACAGTGAAGCTTAAATACTGTACAGTCCCTGAAATCTAAATATATAATTACTATATATTATAGTAATTATGTATACTTTAATCATCTACTCTTGACTTGTTTTGTAGGCAGTATATATTGCACCCCTTAAGGCATTGGTACGGGAAAGAATTGAAGACTGGAAAATTAGGATTGAAGAAAAGCTTGGTAAAAAGTAAGTTTTTAAAAATAATTTAAGTAACCGATAGAGATGGAAAGGCTTGTGCAGTTTTGAGAACTGTTGGCTGATATATAAATATTGATGTCTGTAGATTTGGTATATTTATGCATATTCCTTACCATCATACCACATACAGTTCATGAAATCTGAAAACTGTTTTCTTGACAATATATTTTGTACAAAAACAAGCTCTGGGGACTTTTTAAATATTTTTTCTTAATATATGTATGTATACGAGTCTAGCTTAATAAAAACTCCCTATGTTATTGATTTAGCCTCAGTTTAAAATCTGTACATGAAACAATTCAAAATATTTCTAGACATTTTGCAGTTTGCAGTCATTTTGAAAAAATATTTCTATGCATCACGACTTGGATAGAAAATTAGGCAAATCTTTCTCTCCTAGAACTTAGATTTTCTTTAACCACTGTGTTGCCATCTTTCCCTCCTAATTACCACCTAGGACTTGCCTGCGAAAGGAATTACATTAATTAGGATGGCAACACACTCCTTTTGGGGGGGGAGTATGTATAAGAAGTAAACACAATATTAGGAATGTTGTTGTGGTATCATCCTTATGTTCAGAGAGAATACTGTTATTCTCCATGTCCCTTTAACATTCAGGACTAAATCACCACTTACAAAGTGATAAAAGTGTGTGTTCTAATACTTTACAATGACCACGTGATTCCTTTTACAGGGTTGTAGAGTTGACAGGGGATGTAACTCCTGACATGAGATCCATTGCCCAAGCTGATCTTATTGTTACTACACCAGAGAAATGGGATGGAATCAGCCGAAGCTGGCAGAATAGAAGTTATGTCCAAAAGGTTTCTGTCCTCATCATAGATGAGATTCATCTGCTAGGTAGGAATTGCTTTAATCTTTATCATTGTTGGAACTGCAATGTGTTGGCTGCACCTATCTATATCTGTATATCTATACCTTCTTTTTATGTTTTCTTAGGCGATGAGAGAGGGCCTGTCCTAGAGGTTATTGTGTCTCGGACTAATTTCATCTCGTCTCACACAGAGAAGCCTGTCAGAGTAGTTGGTCTGTCAACAGCACTAGCCAATGCCAAGGATCTAGCTGATTGGCTAAATATTAATCAAGTACGTAAATGATGCTTACAGTTGACTTTCTGAGCATTATCTTTAAAATATTTACAGTCTTAAACATGGGGGAGAAAAATAACCTTATTTATCTCTTTAGATGGGGCTATTTAACTTCAGGCCATCCGTGCGTCCAGTTCCATTGGAAGTTCACATACAAGGTTTCCCAGGCCAGCATTACTGTCCTCGCATGGCTAGCATGAACAAACCAGCCTTTCAGGGTATGCAAACTTAGCTATTTCTTTCACTTCATACTATGGGCAGACACATTTACAATACCTGTTTCTTGGCCTTTATTTGTATCTTTAAAGAATGTATTTTTAACAACATGGCTTATGTGTTGCCCTATACATTTAGAGAGCTAACAGCACAGAGTACAACTGAAATATATTTCAGACAGAATCATTTATATTACCATTTGACACTGTGAAAACCTTTTCCTATTAGTGTGTTGAGATTTACAACATGTAAATCATTCTCAGTATTAATTCACTAGGAGATTTGCTCCTAATGGAATCTTTACAATAAATGTAAACAGAAATTGGACATCAAGTTAAGATTGCATAATTCTAATTTCACAGCATAGCCATAAACTTCAGAAATGTAAGTGTACCCAGAGATATCTCTGTTTTCAACTTTTTATTCTTACACTGGAAAGGACAAATTTAAGAACCACCTTCACATTTTATTAAAGCATGTACTGCATAGGTTCCATAAGGAATATTTATTATATCAATTAAAAAGAAATCCCCAAATAAATTTTGGATTGTGAACTGCTGTTGATTGTAAGGAGGTGGCTTTTTAGCTGATCTAATTAGCCTTATGACAGAAGCGAAGTATTGATTGGAGACTAGAGACCAATCTTGGCAGTTCAGATTATTTACACCTCAAAGAAGAGCATAGTAGAAAAACACTAATGAACTATAAATCTGTCCAGAGCTGTTCAGCCACACCTGTTCCTGAAACAACAAAAATGCATTATCTGTCAAGCTTTCTATCAGGAAACAGATGTATTGATTTCTATATGGAGAAGGGGCAATGTCAGCATTGTCATTTGTTATATGTATACACATGCACATGCCTATGCTCCTTCCTGCATATTGTCATTAGTATTAAAATTAGATTGTCAAGTATCATTCAAATCTTCCAAGAAGTAAGTTATTTTTACATTCAGCATTTTTTATTTTTAAATACACTGTGTGTTTGTGTGTATGTGTGTGTATGATTGACTATACCTAAAGGAATGCTGTTAATACCTCTATGTTCTGATCAAATTACTTTAGCAGTATAATTTAGAGAATGTTTTTATTTCCATATGTTTGATAGAAAATAGATACACATATGTCAACAGCTGCTATTGTAAACTTTATTTCTCAACCCATAAAATTGTGCTAAAAGCTGGAGCTTTTCATTTGTGCATTTTTAAAAATGCTATTTTGACTACTTTCCTCTTTTGCTGTATTAACTGTTAAACCCCCATTCCCCCCCCCCGTTCCAAGAAAGTTGACTTTGCTATAAATTTAGATTTTTGAAATAATTCAAAAGGAAAATATAATTAATTCATAATTCATAACAATCATTGACACTCCGAGAAGAAGCTGCTGAAGGAGATACTAGAACGAGAAGTTGCATTCCATTATGTGGGGTTTTTTTTGTGTTTTAACAGCCATTAGAAGTCATTCTCCAGCCAAGCCAGTTCTTATCTTTGTATCATCCAGACGACAAACTAGACTTACAGCTTTGGAGCTCATTGCATTTTTGGCAACTGAAGATGATCCAAAACAATGGCTGAATATGGATGAAAGAGAGGTAAATTGGTATTACTTCAATTAAGTGAATTATATTTGAAATTATATTAAAAAATTAGAATTGGATGACTTCGATCGTGGTTTTGTTTTGCTTTTCTGTACCACTTTTATGACATAAAGTTGGCACATACAATACTTTTGATGCATTAGTTGAGAATGGGCTTCAGAGTTTCATGTTCCTTTAATCATTCCTTGACCTCTTCTTTCAGAACACAAGTTCCCAGAACTTCATGTTTCATCATTACCAAAGGAGAATTTATTTCTATAAAAGGAGTTGTAACCAGAGTTCAGAGAACACTATTTGCTTTTCAAGAGCAAAAAACTGGAAAAGATGTGTGCTGTTGATTCCTTAGGCATTATCCCATAATATTGCATACATGCCTGCATGCATGCTTGAAATAAGCTGTGACTTATGTGGTTCACGTTGTCAGTTATGGCATATTTCCTATCTCTGTTTTTAAAAACATGAACCATTATCTTTGATGTTTTTGAGATCTCACAGTAGGTAGGCTTTAGCAAGCAGCTGAAACCCAAGCTTAAACTGGCTTGGGATATTTATGTATGCAATATTATGGGATAATGCCTAAGGAATCAACAGCACACATCTTTTCCAGTTTTTTGCTCTTGAAAAGCAAATAGTGTTCTCTGAACTCTGGTTACAACTCCTTTTATAGAAATAAATTCTCCTTTGGTAATGATGAAACATGAAGTTCTGGGAACTTGTGTTCTGAAA